CGGTGTTCATAAATTCGGCTCGTTTGATCGTCCTTCGGTAACCCAACACTTGGAATGTGTTACGCAGTTGAGATCACAAGTCACACAGAGAAAACAAAGTGCCTCACACGACCACCATGAAACACATTCTCTTCTAATTAGCTCGAATAATTCATAACCTGATAAGATGATTAGATTGTTGATTGGAATGAGTTCCTCAGTCATCAGCAGCAGCAGCATCGTACCGCGAGATATAGTGAAGCGAACTTCACTGATCGCTGCTAAGCTCACAAATTAAGTGATAAAGCACGAGATGAAGATGGTTTGGGCCTAATTGGAGAGAGGCAAAGAACGTGAACCTCTATGGTCAACACACACACAGTACGTAATCGAACTCTGCATGCATACCTTTTCAAGCATTCTGAATTGATAAGAAAATGACAGCAGAAACGCCACTGCTGTCGGATCGATACCATATCCTTTTGTGTCCCCAACCAACCAGTTGCAGTCTTTTAAATCCCAACCTGGAAGATGGGAAAAACCTATTCTGTTTAACCGCTCTATGCTTCATGCTTCGTTTCCACGTCATCTGTTGATCTCCACGTGGTTTCTTTCAACCTAGTGCCGCAACTGCAAATAAAGTGAGGTGCGGTAGACGATGACTGGTAAACGCAATACGCGTCCTAATCAGCGAAGCCGACTTACCAAAATTTGATGGGATAACGAATTCTTCATCAAATCATTACCAAATACGCAACTCCTTACCTAAGAGTTGCTTACACGCTTGCTCCATCCAACCCGCGCCAAACTGCGTAAACATCGGCAGTCGAAGACTTCTAGGCGACGAATATCTTCCACGCGCAAATTTCCGGTCTCGCAACCATAAGGCAGAACAGACCGCACAATGGTGCAGTATACACAACTCTTCACTTTCAACGTAACATCGTGTCTGCATCAAAGGTGTTTCAGATCTGCGTAAGCTGCTCGAGCCTTGGAAATGTGGTCGGTCACCTCATCGATTACGCTACCGTCAAGGCGTCATGCCTTACTATTCCTTGCCCTGATCTCATTTGCCCAACCCATAGATACATAAGCGCGCGCGCGTGCACATACACCGGAAAGCTGTTCTTTCCGAAACCCGTACTGGGAGTTACTCATTTCTACCTGTTACTCTCAAATCACAATTAATTTGGAGTACTGGTGTGACTTGTTGTTCCGCCTCCCTCCGCAGACTCGATCTCCAAGCTCAATGCTTCTTTTTACCAGTCAACTATCAGTTCAGTTCGATTTGTACAACCATTAACCAAGCACTATCGTGCTCCGGTTTTGTTTACTGTCTTTAGTTACCCATTTGAATGAACATTAGGAAAAAGACAGGAGAGGTTGAAAGTAGGTTAATGTCGCGGAGTACTTTAGAAAATGCACAAACGCCACTGTTTACGACACTCAGCCATTTCACTCAGTGTCTCTAACCATCGATTACGAATATCCCGAGTTCCCCATCCAGGGCACCTCACGTGACCTAAGTGACCCAGACTCCTGGTTAGGGTTTTCATACCCTCATGCCAGGTCTTAGCTTGACCATCCTTGGTTTTTTTTCAACCACTACCTGCCTCGGCAAACATCACTCACCGTGGCAACCTATCTGTTGACATGAGTAACAAATGCCCTAATCAATCAACTATATACACGGCAAATACACCATGCAGATTCCATAATCACCCTCAATTCCATTTTTCTCTCGCAGACTTGCGAGTTCAAAATGCAGCTTGAATACAACCTTATCAGTTTCGTCTAGGGGTGAGTATCTGAACTCTGTACTTCGATTAGAGTGTGTCCGTGTGCGTATATGAAAAGGAATGAGAGATGGAACGTGCTCGTACGTTTTGTTGATTCAACGACCTGCCCAACAACGTGCTTTTTATCACGGATAACACAATCCACTTTGGGCCGATTAAAGGAATAGACTGACTATCCAGTCCAGGGCTGTTTAAAACAACGTATCCTATCCACAAACGTGTCTACGTGTAAGCGCCTACGTCCCTACATATTTTGTCCACAGTTTGCCTTGGTTCCCATCGGTCCGTTGTCCTATTTGTGCTGGACGTAACTTCTTCCATACCATGTACCACACACACACACACACACACACACACACAAAAGTGAATTACGTCAGAAAGATCATCTCCACGCGTCTCAGTACGTGTCAGCAATAAATCATGCGGGATACGGTCATGTTTCAGGTCAGTTGTAAAGGGTTTATCACGAGCTGTTGTACAAATTTCTGACATCATATGTCCAGATGTTTCGTCATTGCGTCTTCACGAGTGGGTGCAAATGCACAGATAATCGAAACCCGTACACACAGAATCGTGACTGTGCTGTTCGCGGTTTCTGGAATTTTGTCTCTCCCAGGTACTGTTCTCTTACCGTCTTCTGTGGGTACCTTGCCCTTTGGGGAGTAACATGCAGGATCCCGGAGTTTCTAATCCATTCTTCGTATGCGGCCTGTAATTTACTCTTTCGAAAGCACACTTGTCTTCCGTTTAGTTTGTATTCTTAACTTGTGCTTTGTTTTTCTTTGTGATATGCCAAACTTTCGTTCCATATACGGATAGTCCGTCCTGCTACTTCGTCTAACATGGGCCTGCATTTATCAACTGTATTCACCGCGATATTCCCGGCTTCTATTGACTAGATTGAATGGGATTTCACCGCTTCATCGATCAAAGACAGGTTTATTGATGACGAGACCATTGGGCCTCTTTCGTCAGTAATCTGACTCTACACACTGGGAATACACATTCCTGGTTATACTCTTCTCGCAACCTGATCTGATGACCGCCAATTCCGTCAGTATCCTGAAGATCGTCCAAATTCCTACTATTTCTCGCTCGGGCTTTTCAAACGACAGTTTCCTCTCCGTGGACTTTCTCACTACACCCGCCAGCGTGAATAGATCCTCAGTTTTCCCGGACTTGCTTATCCCAACCTTCGCTTGTGCAGGTTCCGGTAGGCCCGGTATAAGTTGACCTAACAACGTCTCCGAACAAACGGTGTCCTCCAGCGTCGGTAGGGCTCGATCCAACAGATTCAAGTCACGTGACAGGAGGTTCCACGCCAACTGCACCGTCCTGAATAACAGGTGATCTGGGTGTCAAAACCCGAGATTATGGCATCCTTCGCGGCGGCTCATTCCATTTTATCCGGATCTCCTAGAGCCGCGTCCAACACTGTCCGTGCACGGCGCTGGAATGGNATGGTCGTCAACTAACCTCGGTCCGACTGGATTCCTGTCAGCTAAACCACGTCCCCGAACTCATTTTGAAAGGTCCAAACGTCTGCAATCCTAAATTGTTATAAACTCGGTGTGTGCGGATAGTTTTTTAATTGAAGAACCAAATAGATGCAGGGGTAAATCGGACTATACTGAGCAAAATATGCGGTCTGCAATAGTTGGTTCCTAGTTTCATAAAAGGCTCTTCCTCAGTGACCAAAGAGTTTGGCAGTCTTTTTGCATATTCTCTCCCTACCTCTCCTTTAATCAGCTCTTAAATATCTTGTTTTTTTAATACTGTGTGATTTCATCAATTATCTTTTCACGCGCGCACCAAACATACTACTCACAAACGTAAATAGCACCTCGTAATGCCTGTTTTCATTGTGTGTGAGTTTGTATTATCATGGCGATCCACTTAATCGTGACGCGGACGAGCCCTGATTCTGTTCAAACCCGATGTTCCTTCATTGATAGTTATTTCAGTTGAGTTTATTCGCTCATAGACAAACTCTTAGAAGAGGACTGTGGTTAGGTGTAATTTATCGCCACCGCCAATTTCTAGACGAATGAAAAGTGGGCGTACTACGGATTAATCCTTTGGGCAATCAGTTCATATTGTTCTACTATCATAAACCGAGTCCCCATGGACGATACATTTGTAGTTTGTGGTGCTTTCTCACTGATTTCGTTTCCCCAACTTACTATCCCGTATCTGCTGACCCCGGATAAAGAGACAGAACTTCCGGGTTAGGTTGAACTACCCTAACGTTACACAAGTTAAATTACCACTTGATCTCATCTCCATCAAGATGGGATTTGTTCTAAGCTGCAAATTCATGCATGCAACGCTCACCTAATCACTTTTGGTTCCTATCTGCAACTCGGAGATGTGCCTGATCGTACCGTTCTTGCAGACTTGTGCGTGACTTTTGGACGGATCAGTATGGGTTATCACGGGCCGTATACGATTGGATAAAGTGTATATATGCTATGCCGAACAATTCGACAAATTTTTTCGCAACGACAGTGTTGATCATTTTTTTCTTTTTCGAACCCCTTCGATTTTGACCTACATGTAGTTCGACTGTGTACTTCGTGTGCTGTTTATTGACGTGCGCTCTTTCCCCCACCCTGAAAATTGGCCCCAATTCCTGTCCATGTTACAGATTCTCACCTACTTTATATGCATTGCGAGTTATCCAGCGATCAGGGAAGTTCTCCTCGTTGTATTTCGCTGTACAATGATGATGATGGTGACGAGGTGACATTCTCAGTGTTGCAAGAACTGTTTCAACGTTAAACGGACAGTTTTTCCCTGTCAGGGTTCGTTGAGCACTATCACGCTATGTTCAATGTGTCGCGCGGTCTATTCAAAAAACAACCTTATTTTGAAAAAAGATGCCAAAACTTGAATCCGTCTCATGAACTGGTAATTTGTCTGTCTGTTTGTTTGTTTGTTTGTTTCAACGAAGAAGTCGCGCTGCATCCTGTCGGCTCCAACCGNATCTGTTCAAAATCACAAATCTGTCAGCTGATTGTCGTCGTGTAGATGAGATATGTGATTATCTCGACCGTAACAAACCGGCGACTGAATCACGTGCAATTAGATTTACGCCTGATATAGTGTTCGTTTTTTTGACGTCACATTATTTTTTCTATCCTTTTTTGGATTTGCGTGCCAATTTTCAGAACTCACTCCGGACCGGATAAAAGGACCGCGCTGGAGCATTTCATTTATCACATGGCCGGTCCACTACTGATCGTGATCAATTGCCCACAATTCGGACGATTGATCCCGTACGGTGCGCACTGTCTACACCGTCTTGTGCTTGCCTCCGAGCTCGTTGATGGTATAAATTGGATCCAGTCAACCTTGCTGATGTCCCATGTGATTCGAGTGAGTCAATTGCTCATGTCTGATTGCTTTTTCTGTCACATTCCCGAGCCGTTTTCGAATGCTCTTTTTTCTCGGACTGTGGTTGTTCTCATTCCCAACTATCGAGTCCACGATCCGGTTATCAAATCACATTAATTTTGAACAAACGAATTCGGCCTTCTGTGTGTTTGTGTGGTCAAAGGGCTTTGGTCACCATCACGTCCTTATGAAACTCGTGTATCCTCCAATCCCCACCACTGCCGATGCCGTTACCCAACTTCCTGAAAGTTATCATTTCTGATTATCTTTAGGCAAAGTAATCCTACATTCCTTCTTGAAAGTTAGTCATTGCGTCTTTGAAATCCTGCTGCGCAACACTGTGTGTACCTGGTCTCGGGCGACCGAGAACCAGGGCGAGTTCTGTTGTGCTCCCCTAGCAGTGTTTCTCTGGGGCTGTAAATCTGGTTTAACTGTAATTTGTTCGTGTCACGGGACTTTTTTTGGAGGGTGTGTGTGGCTGTAGAAATGATCTTTTATCTTCAGGGTTACTCTGTTGTGATTGTCTGCAGTTCCAAGGCTCGAGCAGCGTATGCTGCCCTAGACGCAGCGTTTTACTGAAATTGAAAGTCTGTTTATATTGTGCTACCGATCGTTTAATTCTGCCCTACGGTTGTGAGACCTTGAATTGGCGAGTAGAAGATATCCACCGACTAGAGGTATTCGATTATCGGTGTTTACGCAATGTGTTTGGGAGTCTATCAGGGAAGAAGCTGCTAGCGCGTCGAATGCAAATTAGTAGGCTTCGCTGGCTAGGGTACGTATTCTGTATGTCCAGCTGTCATCTACCGCATCGCGCTTTGTTCGCTGTGGCCGATGTGGGCTGTAGGAAACCACGTAGAGATCAACAGATGCCATGGAGACGATGCGTGAAGAAATGCACAAAACCATTAGATAGACTAGGTGTCTCGCTCCTTGAAGGGTGGGGTCCGAAGGACTGCAACTAGTTGGTTGGAGCCATTGAAGAGTATAGGAGTGAACCGACAGCAGTGGCGTTTTTGTCAGGCCAGAATGCTTGAAACGGTGTGTGTGCACAGTTACATTGTGTACTCCGTGTGTTGACCACAGAGGTTCACATTCTTCCCTCTCTCTCATAGTAGGTTCAACTCCTGTTTATACATATTACTACATATTACTCCTTACTCACAAGTTTGTCAGTGATCAGTGAAGTTCGCTTCACTGTATTTCGCTGTACGATGATGATGATGATGATGATGACTCTGTTATCAGTTCTTTACTGGCTCACATTCCCACATTCTCCCCCTGCTGTTCTGTAACGCAATGGCTGATCAAGTTGCGGCGCTTTGTGCTAAATCAGATGGGGTATAAAAGCTGACTTCAAATTCCGACCCTAAACCCGTTCGCTTCCGGAGCCGATCTCGAGGCCCTTCTAGGTGTTATCGGAATTGAGAACCAATGATCAGATTTCTGATGAATAGATTACCTATTGCATCGGACGACAACGAACCTGTTTGACTTGTTACTTCTACCATGAGGCCATTCAGTTTCACGTCTGAAAGGTAATGGGTTACTTTTATGGAATTTCCCCTTTCGATTATCACCTTGAACATCCTTAACAGTGCCTGGTGAAAAACCGAATGGGCTAATCCAAACATTGACTATCTAAATCACTCTGAACTGTTGTGAATATTGTGATTCTAGCTCCCGACCTGGTTCCACACATCAGAACTATAGATGGGTATTCGCTACAAAAAGTACATTGATGAACTCATTGCTTGAATATTTTCCCTCTTCACTTGAGTCCTTGAGAATGTGGCTGGGAAACACTGGTGGTTAGGATCATTGCCACCATTGTTTACTAACTCCCGTGGTTCATATATTGCAGGAATTTTTACTTAGCTTCTGAGAACTCCGGTAACCCGGGGTATAATCGCCCACCCCGGGGAGCAAACACAAATGTGTTACCACATTCACTGAGAAGTAACTCTGAGTATGTCGTAGCGTGATTTTAACTGACCATTTGTCAGACTTCATCGTCACCGTTTATCCGCTCTACCGTACACATGCACTATAGTTTCACTCTCATCCGAGCTACTCAGCCCCAAAACCTCCAGCGGTCTATGGGGGATTTGAATCCGAGTCGCCTTGTGTGAAAGGCATGTGTGTTCCCATATTGTGCTCACGGTGAAGACGAGTTGAATTGCTGATTTAATTCGGTCGAATCGCTTTCAAACAAATTTCAGGTTCGCTAGTCCCTCATTGTTCACTCCATTGTTACGCCTCCTAATCATCCAAATCCTTATTGTAGGTTTGAGTACACTGTGCGAATCAAACGGGCTAGACCAAGGGCAGAACCAACCAGTACGCTGACATGATGTTCATCTTTACCTAATAGTGGTGTCGTGTTGTTCTTTTGGGAATCTCACATTAGTTGTTTACAAATCAGACAAGTGTGAAATATAATAATAATAACCACTGAACAGTTACACTTTCAAGATTTGTTCTGTCATTGCGGTTGGTATGACCAATATCATCACAGGTAGCTCTTTCCTACTGGGCGTAATTGGATACTTGATGAGCTCGGTTGATTCAACCAATCAGTTCACGTCATCCGAGTGATATCGTGTTGGCGCTCGCTCGCACCAATCTCTGTCCCACCCAGCAGGATTACTATCACACACACACACACACACACAGACAGACACACACATGCTGATCTTTCCACTGTCACTATGACATAAAGTCCTTCCAAAGATCTTAAGCTATAATGAGTAGTATATGGATGATTGGATAAAAAATCACAAAAGCACATGACCGTTTGTGCGGTCCTTCTGGGAAATTTAGTCCGGTTACACATATCCTACTCATTATAAAAACACTGGAAATCCGCCCTAGTGTTGAGTTGGCTTAGGTTAGATGCATTTAACCCCAAAACACCTGATACAGAAGCATCGTAATCATTCTTCAAGACTTATTCTGTAGATGAGATTTGAATTGCATGGATCATAAATTATGCCCATTCATGTGTGGACACACTAACTGTTTTGCTAACTGATCCTTTGTTGACTAAGTCGTACCACTTATTATTTGGTTTGCTTAGTACCGTAAAAAGTAGTCAGAGAAACAATTCTGGGCCTTGAGGGTTCGCGTCTGGAATTGCGTACCATGTCCGAACAGCCGCACACAGCTGATCAGGTATTTTAATGGAAGGATTTCTGCAAACCGGTCGGAGTGATTATGCTCCGGGCAGTATGGACATTCTGGTTTAGTTTCTCACTCGCGTTACTGAGTGTCAACATCCGCTGTTTCGTATCAGGAATTATTTTCTGAGATAATCTTTGATTCCCCTTCCTTCCCGTGGTTTACCTTCTCGATCAGCAAAACAACAAACAGATGATTTGTACGCACTCACATACCGGCAAACTGGCAAAATCGTCGGTGCTCTGTAAAGCGCAGTCTCGGTTCTCAACAAGGATATTCGGTTCCAAATTAACACAACCTACTCTATGTCCAGATCAAAATTGTTTTTGTGCGTGGGGTGCGTGGGGTCACGTGAAACAGCTTCACTGTGGAAACCTTTTCTCTCTCGCGCGCGCACACACACACGCGTGCGCTCACTCGCTCAGTGAAGATCACGTGATTGACACATTGGTACGTGTATCTGTTTGCGTCTGTCTGTATAACGCCGCATTAAGAAGAAATACCGCCCACGACCACGGAAGCGGTTAGAACATATTGGTACGTGACCAATCCGAGTAAGAGTTGTTCGCCCGCATCAAACCGGTTTCTCACCTGTTTGGTCCACCCCGAGTCAGAACTATAAACGTTCCCAGTTGAGTAAATCACCTCCGTTCACGTTGACAATTCACATCGAAATGAAGCACTTGAGAAAAAATTCATTCAGGCGTGATTCATACCGAGTGCAGCTTCCGTCCACGCCCACACACGCACATACGACGACGGTCAGAATAGAAAGTGCTGTGGACTGTCACAAATTATGCTGTTTCACATCCCGGCCATCGATACGCGGCGGTGTGGTGGATTTTGGATGTTTACAACACCCACTAAGAGCGACAACAACAAGGACAACAGCTGCCACTGCTACACTGTGGCGTGGATACCAAACTGTACCCGATGCTGGAGAAAACCACATTATTGATGACGCAATCTGCGTGACTTAGTGTCGCGGACAGGTAGACAAAACACGCTTGGATCGGGTTCACCAATTGCGGTTTTCCGATTCCAGATGAATCTTGGGTGTGGACCAGGTGATTTTGTGTGTGCGGGCACAGTTTTTTCCATTCGGTACCACATTACTACTCTTAGAGCCATTTGAACAGGCACTATTACATCACCCCAGCACGGTTATTGATAGTGATGATGATAGTGATGATGGTGGTGATGTTGGCGGCGCCGGCGCCACTGTTGTCAACATCAACAGTTGTAGCGTGTAAAACTTTGCGTGGATGTTGCCACTCCCTCTGGGCTACTGATGATCGATGTGGACAATGGATTTCGATGTTTGGAAAACTATTTCTAACCATTCGAACGAATTCTCTTCTGTCTTTCAAAGACGTTTCATTGGTTAGCGGTAACCATTTCAATAAGACCTGTCATCCCATACCTTTTTGTGTGTGCGCGTGTGTGCTTTCTGTCGTAGCTTGAGACTACCACGCGTTGACCCAATCAGTCGATATTTTCCATGTTTGACCCCTGTTCGCGTAGCCCTGCGATCATATTTATAGAGCATATAAAAGCTATATGACCCGATCGTTACGTGACTGAATGTGTGATTAAATCTGTCACCACTTTTTACAACATTTAAGACATCTCGGTGGAAATTGGATAACAAAAACCAACGCAGAATGCCAACGCCTATCTCAGAGCCAGAGAACTCTGATCTGATCTGTTCATCGAACATGATCTCGAACTGCAACGTTTATGCCATCTTACGATCTCTCACGTTTTCTGTGAACCGGTCAAGTTCATCCTTGTTCGAAATG